AGGGAAAATTATTTTCCTGTTATGATTTCCATCTTTAAGTTACTCTGCATGTAACTTTAAAAGTGAATAATAGGTTATATGGGAAGGTGTATTCATAGGTCAAAATCTTACTAGTTTATTACTGTAGGCAAAGAATTCAAAGAATCTTCTCACTTGGAGATTAACTGTGTGACTAAGAAACATAATATTGTATTTTAAGATCTTATTCTATGCTTGTCCTACAAATGGATAAATGACTTACTTGTATCTGAATAGTAACTAATCCTTGGTATAATACTGGTGGCAAAAATCTGCAGAATTGATTACTGATGGTTTGATATAGTATAGGGTTTAGGATTAAACAGATTATTTAAGCAGATTTGAATGGCTTGTTTAAACTGTTGATCCAGTGAAAGAGGTTCACTTATTTGCAGTTCTGGAGGTATAATGGGAAAGAGTTCAGTGCCCCTGACCTAGAACTTTAGGAATCTGGTAACTATACTTATGAATTGGCCATTAAACTCCTTTGCTATTCTTTATAGGTTTTTAACAAGTTAATCAGGCGCTACAAATACCTGGAGAAAGGTTTTGAAGATGAAGTTAAAAAGGTATGAGGAACAATACACTTTGTGGAAACAAAAGGTTGGGGTCGAAGAAGAAGGGAATGGTAGATTCTAATTCTGCCACATATTTGAGATCTGTTAATTTTGGTGGGCTATCTTTGAAATGTGCATCGTTTTACACTCTTTCTTAGCCCTGTGTCCAAGTAAGTGGCAAAAGGTCATTAAATTATATGGAATGGTCAATTCACCAGTGAAAATCTTATTATATTTGCATTCCTATAAGCAATGAATCCAAGTACTTCTGACTTAAAGATTGTTAACTGTGATTGAAACATAGAACTGTATTTTATGATCTTTCTGTTACTGTCCTATAAATGGGTAAACGATTTATATTTAAAAATCAGTGAGGTTTGTTTAGGAGATAGTGTATAGCATCAGAGCTAGAAATATAGAGACTGAAGGAATTTAGCATGCTTGCTATTGAGTCTCAGCAATTCTGCATGTCATGCACAGAAAATCTTAGCATTTATCAAGTACTATTTTGGTTATTAATTCATTTACTATTCACAAAAATCCTGTGGCGAGTTGTATTGATAAATGCTAGGAAATTGGGGCAGAGAGGTTAAGTTACCTAAATGGTTAATTGACCTACGATCATTCAGCAGGTTTTGGCTTAGATATTCAGAGATAAATTCAGGTGGTAGTATCCTTGATACCATTCTTTTAACCAATATACAATGAATGCACTTTTCTTTTTTTTTTTTAATTGTATAATAGTTTGTTTTTACATATTTTTGTGCATTTTTCCACCTTAGTTGCAATCCCCTTGGGTTTCCCATCACCAAATCACCCATGTGCCATCACCATAGTCCAGTGCATTTCCCTCCCCCCGCTGTTTTTGGTCCCATTTCCTACTCCACCCCCACAAAATATCTCTGGTATATAGCTGTTCATCATTATCATTATTTTCTCACGTGTTCTGTTATATTCCTGCTATCAGAGAAACCATCCAGTATTTTTCCTTTTCTTTCTGGCTATCACACGTTCACTAAGCATGATCTTTTCCAGTTCCATCCATGTTGCTGCGAAAGACATGTGTTTCTTTTTTTTTTTTTTTGGTTGTTGAGTAATATTCCATTATGTGTATGTACCACATCTTTTTAATCCAGTCATCCATTTTTGAGTATTTGGGCTGTTTCCATGTCTTTCCAATTGTGAATAAAGCAGCAATAAACATGGGGGTACAGATATCTTTTTGTACCAGTGTTTTTGTGTCTTTTGGGTAGATACCTAGGAGTGGGATTGCTGGGTCGTAGGGAAGCTCCATGTTTAGCAGTTTGAGGAGCCTTCAAACAGTTTTCCATAGTGGTTTTAGTGTATTTTGTTTTTTGTGTTATTAACAGGATACAAATAGTTGGATTTTTGGCTGCATAAACAGCACTTCTATGTGGTAAGTCTTTTGAACCAACATACACTTATTCACAAATTACACTTTTAGAGTATCTTTGTATATTCTCAAGCTCATTTTGCTGCTATATTAAACTGTAGTACTGGTTTTAAAATAGAAATTAACATCATTAATATGTGCAAACATTGAAATGGTAGTTAGGAAGAGCAATCTTTTTGTTCTATAAGAGACAAATATGAGTGGAATATAGTGAATTAAATTTACTAGTTTTCATTTCATTAGACCTCTTTCTGATAGATCTTTAGTTTTTCTTTCCTCTTAAGCTTACTTATTTATAATATTTTAACATATTTGGTCTTTGATTATATTTTCACATTTATTTCAGCCAGCAAGGAGTTGATTTATCATGGAAAGCTGAACTTCTGCCAACAATTAAGGTAAATCATGGCTTTAAAATTTTAATATTTGGGGGTAAAAAGGCTCAAATCTATAAGCATTTTAGATAAACTTGACTTTTTGTAATATATTTTAGACTTCTTTTCTTGAAATACATTTAATGGAGAACAACATGTTTTTTGTTTTAACTTTCAGAGGTAAAAGTTATGTTCAGAACCCTCTAAATAAAATTAAGTCTGTATGTTACAACGTCATGCTAAGAGCTAGAGGGTATACTTGGAATGGTGTGCCTTAAAATAAAAGCTAGGTAGTATCTCAAAATTCATTTTTGAAGAGAAGACCTACACTAGGAAAGTGAGCATCTCAAAGAGACCCAAAGAAGCTATTAGCATAGATAGCAACACAGAATATATGTTGTTCTTTCAAATCACTTTACCTTTTATTCTCTCTAAGGTGTCTGTCTCAGTTGCCTGGAACTATGTTTGTATGACCCTTTTACTTATTTTTTAAATAATATAATAGTTTATTTTTATATCTTTTTGTGCATTTTTCATCTCAGTTGCAATCCCCTTGGGCTTCCCATCACCATATTATCCATGTGCCATCACCACAGTCCAGTGCATTTCCCTCTTCCCACTGTTTTTGATCCTATTCCCCTCTTCACCCCCATAAAATGTATCTGATATATAGTTGTTCATTATTATTATTATTTTCTCGCCTGGCCCGTTATATTCCTGCTATGAGTGAAACAATGGGTACTTTTCTTTTTCTTTCTGGCTTATTTCACTAAACATGATCTTCTCCAGTTCCATCCATGTTGCTGCAAAAGGCATGTGTTTGTTTATTTTTTTTGGTTGCTGGGTAATATTGTGTATATGCACCACATCTTTTTTTTTATTTTTAAAGATTTATTTATTCATACAGAACTGGGGTACAGGCCAGAGATGCAGAGGGTAAGAGGATTCACCAGGGATAGAGTGGGGAGCAGAACAGGCAGATTAATGAAGTACACTGCTGAGGGGAGCAGCGGGCTGGTCAGGAGAGGTCTGCCACACCATGTGGATCTCCTCCGGGGCAGGCGGGGATCGAACTCATGCGGAAGTGGCTTAAGCTTCTTAGTGCAGTGCTTTAACCCGCTGCGTCACCAGGGATACACCACATCTTTCCAATCCAGTCATCCACTTTTGGGCATTTGGGCTGTTTCCATGTCTTTCCAATTTTAAATAAAGCAGCAATAAATATGGGGATGAAGGTATCTTTTTGAATCAAGTTTTTGTGTCTTTTGGGTAGATAGCTAGGAGTAGGATTGCTGTGTATGACCCTTTTAAAGCCCTTTAATTTACATTCAAACATAGAAGTCTGTTGCAGAGACTTTTTTGAGTAAGTTCAAGTAAAGCACAGGAACTTATGTTTAGCAAGCACTTGCCAGGTAAATCTGGTCAGTTTGTAGAGAGCCACTCATTGACAGTTCTGTAACTTCACACTTCTGTCCTACTTTCCTACATAATATCTGCAGAAACTTCTTAATGGATACAAATTATTACAATATGTACTTTCAGGAAAAAACTAGATTTAAAAACTTTATCTGGTAGCTTGGCTTTTCATAAACCTAAGATTTCTCCTTAAACGCATTCCTCAAAATTTCACACTAGCATCTAGTTTTGAGAGTTGAAATGAGAATAAGTGATCAATTGGGGGAAATGCATAATTAGGTCTATTGTGTCTTAATTTTGTTACTGAATAAGATCCAGGGAATGATGTTCATATTATCAGTCAGATATTCTTTACCATTGGTAGAACATCAGAATCATTTGAGATTAAGTTACAACTCTTCCATCAAAGTTAACTCTAGCATCAACTATTGAGTGCTCTTTGTGATATACTACCAAAGTAAATGTTGAAATAATACTGTTATATTTTACAAAATAGACAAATTATAAAAAGATAATTATGTGAAATAATGAAGTTTAGTGTTAAATGCCTTGTTTTACAAGAAAAGTCACAGTTCAAGAAATATTTTTGGCAGTTCATATTAACATCAAGGGTTTGATTTTCAGTAGAGCTATTGATTCAAAAATGCATGAACAATTCATGAAGTACTGAATGTGTAGTTTGAAATCTGCTTTTAGAAAATAACTTATTAAGAAGTAAGTGTTTATAATATCTTTTAACATTTTTTAGAGATCTATATACTCCAGAAATAAAATCAACCTTTTATTTTTATCTTTTTTAGTCTCTGACGTTAAGACTTCAAGACTACCCATCTTTATCTCATCTTGTTGTTTATGTGCCATCTATTCATGGAAGTAAGGTAACAAATGGATTAACACTTTTATCACAGTGTTTTGGGTATGCTCATGCTAAATTTTTTATGTTATTTTTGTGAACTTTATAAGGTAGGGCTTTTCTAAAGCAATGACATTTTGATGACCTACCTGAGACTATTAAATAATTTGGATCATCTGCTCTTAATTTGAACTCAGTGGAATAAATCCAAGTCTCTCTTCTTTCTTTTGGGAATTACCACTTTATTATTCTTTCAAAATATATTAATCATTGAGTACCCTTTTATATGCAAGACTCTGCCAAGAATTACAGCAGAATTACCTCCACAAAGGAGGGGGACACAAACTCTGATCTCAAAAAGCTATATGCAGTTGGGTAAGGAGAGAGAAATAGGAGATAAAGGAAAGAATGAATATAGCATATACATGTTAAGCATAAAGGATATGTGTGAGGATTTCTCTGGTGTTATCAAGAAAGACTTCATTATGAGGTGATATTAAAATTACCTCATTGTTGGGACTGTAGACTGGTCCAACCCTATGGAAAATAATATAGAGGCTTCTCAAAATAGATCTATGTATGACACCTAATTCCACTCCTAGATATCTATACAAGAATGCAAAAACAGTAATTTGAGGGGATATATACACTCCTATGTTCATTGCAGTACTATTTACAACAGCCAACTTGTGGAAACAGCCTAAATGCCCAAATAAAGAAGAGTGGATTAGAAAGATCCGGAATAATACTTGGCTATTAAAAAGGTGAACCTTTACCATTTACAAAGTATGTGTGAAAATGCAGCATATGATGCTAAACAAAATAAGTCAGAAGGAGAAAGACAAAAACTGGATGGTTTCACTTACATGCGGAATATAGAGAAACAAAACAAAGATCAGACAAAACCCAAACCCTTACAACCTGTGGCATCTGACTGAAAACTGAAGCAACCAGAAAAGAAGGGTGACAAGGTGGGAGAGGGGTTAGAGTTAGAGTGTGATAGCTCACATCTTCTCCATAGTTGGAGACCCTTATTCCCCATCCAAACAACATGTGAAGATATTTTATTACACATTTAATTATATATTTTTTCTAACCAATCTTTTATATTTCAGTTTGTTGTAGATTGTGAATTCTTTAAAAAAGAGACAAGATCCATACAGCTTCCTGTTACTCATCTTTTTTCCTTTGGTAAGTACTTTATTTTGGAAATCTTAAGAATTGCTTATATTTTTAGCAATGCTGATTATCTGGCCAGATAGTTACAGAGCCTTGTAACATTAAATGTTGTGTACTTCAAGAATAGTATAGTTTTCAAATAATCATATGATATTGTTCATTGGTTTCATTGTTATTTGATAACTGGACCAACAGTTATCTTCTGACAAGTAGACTTTAAAAAGAAATTTTCTCTACAATCACATATATTTGTGTGTAATGGAATGTTTGTGTTCTCATTAAAATTTATGCTCAATATTGACCATTTTGTTTGTTTATATTGTATTTTTATAAAATATTATAAAGTTGAGTTATGTTTCATTTTTGAATTTCCATTTTTTTTAAATTGAGGTAACACTGGTTTACAACACTGTATATGTTTTTAAGAACTTCACACTTAATGCATGTTACTACCACCAAAGTGTTATAATCCTTCACCATAATCTCTTCCCCCTTTGCTTCTATTCTACCCTATTATTTCTCTACTAACCTCAGTTCAAGCTGCTAGAATCCAAAAGTTTTTTTGTCTACTTGCTTGCTTTTTTTAATATTCCAAATGTGAATGAAATCATCCAGTATTTGTCTTTCTCTGTCTAATTTATTTCATGTAGTATAGTATTCTCAAATTCTACCCATGTTGCTGTAAATGAGGGGAGTATGTCCATCCTTCTTAATAGCTGAGTAGTTTTCCATTGTAGCCCATCTTAATCCAGTCATCTACCAAGGGGCTCTTAGGTTCTTCACTTATCTGGACTATTGTAAGTTGTGCCCTAATGAATTTAGGGGTACATATGTTTTTTAGAATTAGTGTTTCTTTTCTTTGGATAGCTACTTAGAAGTGAAAATACAAGATCATATGGTAGATCTATTTTTAATTTTTAAAAAAGATTTATTTATTTATTTATGCATACAGAACTGGGGTACAGGCCAGATGTGCAGGGATGGTGAAAGGATTCACCAGACACAGTGGGGAGCAGAACAAACAGATTGATAAAGTACGCTGCTAAGGGGAGCAGTGGGTGAGACAGGACAGGTCTGCTGTGCCATATGGATCTCTCAAACGGAAGCAGCTGCAGCTAGCTTCATAATGCTGTGCTTTAAACCATTGTACTACCAGGGAGGGCCCCTATTTTTAATTTCCTAAGAAATCTCAACAGTGTTTTACATAAAGTCCGAACCAGTTTACATTGCCGTTGGCAGTGCAGATGGGTTCCATACTCTTGATTATTGACCCTTTTACAAAGGTTTATTATGAGGTATAAATTGCTGTCTGCCTTATGAAGGTTTCAAACTTTATCAAAATTTTTTACTGTATTTTATTGTGATAAAGTATACATGAATATGTTATATAGTCTTTTAAATTTTATTTTGAAATAGAAAAATTATTGACTTACAGAAAAATTATTGAGTTCTCTATGTCCTTCACATATCTCTCTTTAATGATGATTTTTGGATTCGTTCTTCCACACAAGAAGTAAAATCCTGTAAAAACTCTTTTTCTTTTGTAATGTTAAATAAATCTGTTGGCCTCACTTTAATTTTGTTTAAGCAATGAGTACTTTTTAAAAAATTGTTTGGCATTATAACTAATACAGGGTTTTAAATTAAATAGGTTTATCTTCAAGGAAAGTAATATTAAATACAAGTGGCCTGTTCTACAATATAGAGCTTCTTAACTTTGGACAGGTAATTATCCTTTTTATAACTGGTATTTGACATTACTTTCTATTTAGCTAAATAAATAAACTTTTGTTTTTTGCTTTTGTGGTCAAACCATTAGATATATCAAGCTTTTAAAATCAACGTAGTAAGCAAGTGCTCAGGAGCCAAAGGTAAGTGTATTTTCTGAATAGTTGTAGTACTATAATCTGAAGAATCAATAGATCTTCACTTGAATTTTGTATAACACTTATTCTTTCCTATGAAATAAGGTAGATATATAATAGATGTTTATATTTCCGACAGATTGAACATAGATCTTTCTTGACAGTAAGCATTGTCTTTCTCAGTTTGAATATCAACATTTAAAAAATTACTGTGTTAACTTGCTGTTTTACAGTTGTAATTTAAATTTATCTGTTTAATGTTTTTCTAGATTTTCAGTATAATTCCCATGTGTTCTTATATCTTTTGTAATTCTAATTAGACACCATTTAATGATTCCCTATTATTTCTTACTATGTAATATAACATGCACTAATTATTTTTTATGAAATGGGTAATTATATAATTAGGTATTATATAATGTTACATAATGTTTATGTAACATTTAGTTAACACAAGGTTTATAATACATATTTCATTTGTTTTCACAGAAGAAATAACTAGTATCTATAAACTTCATATCCCCTGGTCTTATGAAGATTCACTAACCATTGCACAGTAAGTATATGAATTTACTTAATATGTTGGTGTTTTTGAATAATACATATTCTACTTAGTTTTAAATTTTAAATCTTAGTGAAAATATTAAAGTGTCTCTTAATAAAATATAAATGTCCTTTATGTGGTATTTTGCCCATAGGATATTGTAACAAAATAATATATAGAAATATCAAACAAAAAATGATTATTTAAATAATACAGAATTTATGGCCCTCCCTGGTGGCGCAGCGGGTTAAAGCACAGCACTGAGAATCTAAAGCCGCTTCCGCATGAGTTCGATTCCCGCCTGCCCCAGAGGTGACCACATGGTGTGGCAGACCTCTCCTGACTCGCCTGCTGCTCCCCTCAGCAGTGTACTTCGTTGATCTGCCTGTTCTGTTCCCCACTCTGTCTCTGGTGAAGCCTCTCACCCTCCACATCTCTGGCCTGTACCCCAGTTCTGTATTCATAAATGAATAAATCTTAAAAAAAAAAAAAGATACAGAATTTAAACCTTACTTGTTTGAAATGTGAACCTCTTTCCATCTTGTACCTCTACCCCTGTGCTCTAGAGGGAGTATTCAAACTGACTACTGCTTTTGTAGTCACAAAAGCACCCATTCATAATAATGTATTTGTCATCTAGTGTCCTCTATATTATAATCTTGTATTGTGCTGAAGGTTGACTTAACACTAAGGAAATATGTTCGTAGCATTTTATATTTGAGAGCTGATATTTAGGTTATCTTTTCAGAGTTCCATCTAACACAGAAATTTCCCTGAAGCTCCATGTTGCTCAGCCAGATAATGATAGCCATGTAGCATTATTGAAAATGTACACATCATCAGACTGTCAGTATGAGGTAAGTTGCATGTTTGCTTAATTTTTAAGATTTAGTTATTGAAAAACTGGAAATATGTTTTACATTACTTATAGGTATATGGCAATGTAGAAGCCAATAAAGAGAAAAAAATAGACATCTCTAATACATTAAAAATTTTCCTTATTGCTTTTTAGCACCTCTTCAATATTTTGTTAGATAGACCACTGAAAGTATGCACCTTAATAAGTAGCAAAAAATAAAAATTCAGTTGTAAATTAACCTTATAAATTTGGAAGTTCAAATTCCTCTATAGATTGAAGAACATTATGAAATCAGCTGACATGGCTTTATTGTGGTAATTAGCATAATGTGTAATGGTTTTCAGCTCTCTGGATGAGTTTAAGAATTTTCTTTGCTTTTCACTATTTTAAACTCTGTTTATATGCAGTTTACTGCTTATTCTTTTTATGGTCATGGTAGCTCTCTTAATAAGAAAAGGGGAATAGAGTCATTAGTAACATTTTTATTTCTTATGGGTTCATAAACTAAATGTGTCTGTGTGTCAGAACTTACCAGAGTTTAAATAAGTGGTGACATCATAGGTTCCTAGTTATGTGAAATATCTTCTTTCTACTCTACAGCTTTAAACCAGACTAATTATTTGAATTCTTTATTGAAACTAACTTAGGGTAAATTTGTTGTGGCAGGTCAAATGAATAGAATCTTTCCATAATCAAATTTTTCTTGGATCTTTGGATTTCATGTATTTTATTTATTGCTTTAATAATTTGCCTTTTGTTTTTACCATTGAAGGATTTTCAAGGCTGTATTTTTTAATATCTTTTGTTGACATAACATTGATTTATAATACTGCACATGATTTGTAGGCTCACATCTTTTCAGATGTATGTTAACACACCATACCAATAATCCTCCAGAATAAGCTTTAATGTTTTTTAACTTGCTTATTCACATTTCTAATATCATAGAGATGTTAAAATTTACATTAACTTTGGCCACAAATACTTCATGTTTGGTTATCAGAACAATCATGAAATATTTTTCCTACATTTTAGTGTGTTGTATATTTTCTGACAATCCATTTTCCAGATGTCCATATATATTTTTTCATAATTAAATTTATTTATTTTCTTACATTATTGTTCATTTTATAGTTGGTTTCTCCCTGCAGGAATAGTCCCCATAGCTCTCCTACCACCATGGCATCTGTGATCAATCACTATAGTCTATAGTCTTCCTCCCTACCCTTTTTTGTCTCTTCTGCCTCCTCCCTTGCTATATACCTCAGATCTATGGTCAATTTGCAGTTTTGTCTTTTTCCTGGCCCCTTGCATCATTTTCTGTATATTTTACATAAAAGTGAAACCATTCAGAATTTCTTTTTCCTCTGACTTATTTCAGTGAGAATAATCCCTCCCAGCTTCATCCATGATGCTGTAAATGGCATGAGTTTATCTTTTTTGATTGCCAAGTTTCCATTGTGTATATATACCCTATCTGATCAGTTCATCTGTTTGGAGGCACTTTGGTTGTTTCCTTATCTAATGTAAATAATGATACAATAAATATAGGAGTAAAGTTTTCTTTCAAATTAGTGCTTTTGTGTTCTTTGGGTAGATTCCTAGGAGTGGACTAGTTGGATCATATAGTAGATCCATTTTTAATGTTTTGAGACTTCACACAGCTTTTCATAGTGATTGGACCAGTTTGCATTCCCAACAGCAATGTAAGAGGGCTCCTTTACATCCACATCCTGGCTAGCTTTTGTTGTTTCCAGTTTTTCGCAATGGACCACATGGGCTTCCATAGTGGCCTAGTGCTATCACATTATCACTATTACAGCCTGCATTCGATCCTGACAAGGGAGCTAATCCACAAATGGTGCAGCAGACCTCTCCTGTTTCATCTGCGGCTCTCCTTAAAGTGTATTTCAGTAGATCCTATTTTGCTCTCCACTTTGTCTCTGGTAAATCTGCTCATTGCACTGCACCTCTGACCTCACCCCAGTTCTTCTATACATAAATAAGTAAACAAGTCTTTAAATAAAAAAAAAATATGGATCATTCTCAAAAGTATCAGATGGTATCTCATTATGGTTTTGATTTGCAGTTACTGATAGTGATGTTCAACATTTTTTTTTTTTTTAAAGATTTATTTGTGCATACAGAACTGGGGTACAGGCCAGAGGCTCAGGGGCGGTGAGAGGCTTCACCAGAGACAGAGTGGGGGGCAGAACAGGCAGATTTATGAAGTACACTGCTGAGGGGAGCAGCAGGCGGGTCAGGAGAGGTCTGCCTCGCCATGTGGATCTCCTCCGGGGCAGGCGAGAATTGAACTCATGCTGAAGGGGCTTTAGATTCTCAGTGCTGTGCTTTAACCCGCTGCGCCACCAGGGAGGGCCGATGTTCAACATTTTTAATATGCTGTCAGCTATTAGCATTTCTTCTTGGAGAAACTTCTTTTTTAACTTTTCTGCACTCCTTTTGACTTGGTCATTTGCTTTTCTTGAGTTGTGAAACTCTTTGTAGATCTTTGATATCACATGTATGATACCACATGTATGGTATACAAATATTTTATCCCATTCTGTAGGATTTTTCTTTGTTTTTGATACTTAAGTCCTTTATTTTGACAAAGCAGAGTAAGTCTTCCCTGTGAAAGATTTGTTTCCTTTCCCTGGATTTCCTAATATCAAAAAAGGGATATATATGGTAGAAGTAATGAGTAATAATTTCTTTTTAAAATATTGTTTTATTTAAAGTTTTACTAAATGTGCTCTTTGTTCCTGGTTTTATATTACATGAAATTATTTTTATGAACTTTATTCACATATTTAGCTGTATTAGTGCTATGCTGTTGTATGTTTGAGATTTTAAAGTACTACTTATATAGTAAGTTTATTAATTATTGCATAATTTTTTAGCAAGTCAGTTTCTGAAATTGGTATTCAATAAACTCTTTTAGGCTTGTATGATTTGACAATATAGTATACTGGTTAATTATACATTCTAGTAAGTAAAAGATTACTACATGTACCACAGCAAACCCCTGGTGGTCAAAGAGTTAGAATATGAGAAGGTATACTAAACTGTGAAATTATTCTTGATACAAAAGATTGTTTTAACATTTTGAATGTTTTCATATTTATCTTCATAACAAAATAATAATTATGGCTAGATAATGTGCAGAAGTACTGAGTAAAGTATAAAGTAGAGGAGTTTAGAGAAAATAATTTTTTTTATAAAAGTTTATTTTTACATCATTTTGTACATTTTTTTTCCATCTCAATTGTAATCCCCGTGGGTTTCTCATCACCATGTCACCCGTGTGCCATCACCATAATCCCATGCACTTCCCTCCCCCCCCCACCATTTTTGATCCCATTCCCCACTTCACCCCCGCAAAATGTCTCTGGTATATGGTTGTTCATTATTTTTGTTAGAAAATAATCTTTTTTTAATGATTGTTTTAAACTAGGTGACAGTTAAGACTTCCTTTTCACAAATACTTGGACAGGTAAGAGAACCTTCTTATTGATTATTTATTGCCTTGTGAATAGATACTGTAATAAAGGAGTTGCAAATCATTTCTGTAAAAGGTCAGAAGATAAGTATTTAGCAGAGCACATGCGGCCACATGTTGCTGCTGCTGCCTCTGTTACATCTATTGTTTTCTTCTTTTTTCTCCTTCCTTTTTTTTTTTTTTTTTTTACATATTTGTATGTTCCTTCCTATGACCATTCTGGATTTCTCATGTCCTGAATACTTAATATATTTCTATACCTTTAGCCAAACTATTTCTCCTACTTGAAATATCTTCTCCTTTTTTAATTCTTTTTTTTTTTTT